CTGATTAAGGGCATTGCGAGTCCAGATTTTATTATACACGTCCGTGGAAAAACCCCGGAGAAACAAAATAGAAGGATCCCAATAGGACGCTTTTAGCATCGATCTGCGCACTTCCTCGTTTGAAAACGAGGCCGTATGTGTCAGCTTCAATTCTTGATACAATCAGACAATTGAAAGTAAGGAGTCAAGACACAAAATACATAAAGGTATGTTAAATTCAGACTTTTCAGACTGCAAATTTTTATGGAAGAGTCTTTCAGGATGACTCGACACTTGAAATCAAAAGAAAAAATAATGGCAAATTACCGCGAACTATTGTACCTGCGATAGTCATTTATCTTATGCAGTGGGCGTGGTTTAAACTGAAGTGGCATCACACTTGCGAACCGGTACTGCATGTACTGTGTCGACTCCGCGGGCGCGCGCGACGTTCAACACAGAGAGCCTCAGTTTCGATGCGGATATGCGTAGACGGTGCAAATGTGAACGTGATAAAATTAACCCCGTAGGAGCGACTTATATTCCATTTCCAAAATATTTGGTAGGCAAGAAAGCAGTAATTAACGTTCAAAACAAAGATCAAGAGTGCATTCGTTGGTCGTTGAGAGCGGCTTTAAAATTATTTTCAGACAAAGTAAACCACCAGCTAGAAACTAATTTAAATTATAAGATACTCTATGATAGAACTTCGATATGTTCAACAGACGACGGTTTAAATTTCACAAACGTAGACTTTTCAACACCCATTTCTTAGATTCCAAATAAACAAGACCCACTTTTTGTAATTTACGCAGATTTTGAATCTTTTTTGGAGCGTCTTCCACCAAAATCGTTAAACACGACAAAAAGCGAATTCACAAGCCTTGCGGCTATTCATACGCATTTGTCAGATGCGACGGTAAGTGCGCGAGTAGCAAAACTTATAGAGGCCAAGACGCAGCAGTTTGTTTTGTGGAATCGCTTTCCATAGAAGTACAAACAATTAACGAAATATTTATAAACCCAGAGCCACTAGCCTGGTCGCACGATTTGCAGAAAATCTACGAGCAATGTTATATATGATGGATCTGTGAAGGGACAATTTATAAAACAAAGGAGTCCCAATGTAAATGTGAAATCCTAGTCAAACCGAAAACAGAAAATCAAAAAGACGCTTGTAAAGTGATAAACGATTGTGGTTTCATAGAATACATTTATATGAGCTGCAGAAAGCCCATCAGCAATTTTCGAAAAGTCCGGGATCATTGCCACATCACGGGTAAATATAGAGGCCCAGCACACGCCAACTGCAATTTAAAGTTAAGAATCGTATCCAATAAAACGCCCATTCAAGTAATTTTACACAATTTGGAGAAATATGACGCGCATTTAATTATCCAGGGCGCTAGTAAATTTAACGGCAGTAAAATTAACGTGACTGCAAACAATTCTGAAAATTACATTTCATTTTCTCGGTTTCTCGACTTATTTCATTTTATGGCAGCTTTGCTAGATAGATTAGTTAAAAATTGTTCTCCAGACGATTTTAAATTTCTTCGCGAAAGGTTCCCAGATAACACGGATTTACTTTTAGAAAAGGGTATTTATCCATTTGAATATATAGACTCTTTTGGTAAATGTTTAAAGAAAATAAATTTCCTCCTCAAGAAGCGTTTTTACAGCTCATTAAAGCAGCAGTCTGTTACGAAAGAAGAATATTCCCGTGCCCAAAAAGTGTGGCAAAGTTCAAGTGTAAAAACCTAGGACTGTCACGATCTATACGTCAAAACGGACGTGCTCTTATTGGCAGGCGTGTCTGAAAACTTTAGACAAGTATGGAAAACAAATTATGCCTTAGACCCGGCCAACTATTATACATCGCCGGGCTTATCGTGGGATGCGCTTGTAAAACATTCTGGTATTAAACTCGAGCTGTTGAGTGACATCGACAAGCATATGTTTTATGAACGTGCTAAACTAGGTGGCTATGCAAAAGCAAGTAATTTTAGTTTACCAGATTACGATCCAAACGAGCCAACGTCGCACATTATGTACCTGGACGCAAATAATTTGTACGGTTGGGCCATGAGTAAACCGTTGCCTTTATGTGAATTTCATTGGAAGACAGTCACGACTAAATTTACTCACGAATATATCGTAAAACTTTCACCAAACGCATCCACGGGTTAGATGTTAGAAGTAACGTTAGATTATCCAAAATATTTTCACAATTTACACAACGATTTTCCATTGGCGCATGAGAATATTTTGGTGCCAAACAAATGACTTTCAGATTACCAAAATAATTTGATTTATAGCGGAGAAAAAGTTACTTCTCTGGAAAAGCTCGTTATTACATTGAATACAAAACACAAATATGTCGGTCATTATCGAACACTTCAGAATATGTAGATCTGGGCCTTCAGCTAAAAGAAGTGCATCGAGTAATGTCGTTTGAAGAAGCGCCTTGGATGAAAAATTACCTCGACAAAAATACAGACTTACGCAAAAAGCAAAGTCTGATTTTGAAAAAGACTTTTTTTAAATTGATGAACAATTCGGTATTTGGCAAGACGATGGAAAATGTAAGATCCTGCATTGACGGTCATTTGTTGAGAGACCAACATGACTACCACAGTATAAGAAACTAACTTTTAAACCAAATCATAAAACGACTCCGCCGTTTGAAGAATGCGACATCTCGTTTGTCAAAATGTATCGCACAAAAATAAAGTTAAATAAACCAATTTATTGCGGTGTGAGCGTGCTCGATCTGTCTAAAACGTTAATGTATGATTTTTTACTACAACGAGCTGAAATCGAGTTTGGGTAACCAAGTAAGCTTGTTGTACACCGATACAGATTCTTTGTTGGTAGAGATTCAAACCGACGATATAACCAAATATTTACGCAAAAATCGAAAATTATTTGATTTTAGTAATTTTCCACCCAATCATCAACTTAAAGACACCAACAACAAAAAGTCATTGGTAAAATGAAAGACGAATTTGGTGGTCAATTTATTTCTGAAGCTTTTTGCATTAGGCCAAAATGTACTCCATTTTAACGGAGCAACAAAACCTGAAAAAGGCAAAAGGAGTCACAAAACGTTTGGGAAAAGTTCCCGCGATTATTTTTTCTGGCGCTGCGGATGTTTGTTTTACTCGGTCTAATTTGACAGCTTCTGCAGGCTTTGCGTCAATTAATCGCGTTTTTTCATTGTTTAGCGATTTTACGGCTTGCAGCAAACGGACTACCCATTGCACGTTTTCTCCGTCGGGTTTTAACATTTCTTGCGCGTATTGATATCGAAACTACTGTTCGGCCAATGTCCTGTAGTATTGTTCTACGATTCCCTGCGACCTATGAACTCCAGGTTTGCCTACTTGTATTCGGACGCCTTTATCCACAAACGTCTTTTTAAACTCGCCTTTAAATTTCTATCCCGAGTCTACGTTTATATTCTTGGGCCAATTTAGCGGTGGTCTTTTGCAAATGTTTTTTACGGCTTCTAAAGCTTGTTGGGCCGTTTTACTAGTCAACGGTTCGGATTCTTTGTACCTAGAAGCCACGTCCACGACAGTTGAAGCGTATTTAAAAGTCTTTCTTTTGACGCGATCCCAGGGCAAATATAATATATTCATCTGATGCGTGCCATTTACAACGGCATGTTCCGATTGCAAAGTACTTGGCCTTGGTATGTATCTAGGGGCAGGTAGATAAATTTGCCAAACGGCTTGCTTTTTAACCAACTCCATAGTACTGACTTGGTCTCACCAGTCTTTTGGTGCAAATTATTTACGGCACCTTCACCCTTCCAATAGCCTTGTGGGCTGTAAAACAACTTACTAAAATCTTTGTCCATTTAAAATGAAGTCACGCCAATCGATACGCTAAAAAAGACCAAAGCCGTGCCTCTTAAATTCCACACCAATTTTCTAACTCGCTGATCTTCCGAAGGTACGTAAAAATCTGGCAACTTGGGCTCTGGTGGCAAGGGCAATACTTTACCTGTTAAATCTGAGTAAGCTCGCAACGCCTCGTCCACGTTAGTAAATCCGTACTTACTCGCGCGCTCTTGCCTCATACGTTCGTTTAAATAGTCCAACAAATGAACCCGATTTTCTTCCCAGTTTTGCTTAGCTCGCGCCAGTTGTTCCAAACCTAGGTCGTGTCGGTAATATAAGTGGAGCTGATCGACCCCCAAATGAGGCGGTTTGAGGCGGGAGTCAGTGAGGCGGTTTGAGGCGCGAGGCAGTGAGGCCTCGGGATGAGGCGGGAGGCGGATGCGGGTAGGTCGCGGCGAGAGGCGGGTGGTCAGGCGGGAGGCGGATGCGGAAATTGATAATCACCGCAAAATTGCTGACGGGAGTGTGATGAACCAATGGATGGGGTCGTAGGATCGACGTCTCGTGACGCAACCCCGGCCAGACGGTAGGTTGATTGGTTGTGCGGTTACTGGGTGGTGACTGAATGCCAGAAAAGTTAAGGATACT